ACTAAAATTATTTTCTAATATTTTAAACATCCAAATATTTTTTTCTAAATGCTTAATTTTTTTTCTTGGGGGATTAAATTTTTTTCACATATAAATTTATGATTTTACACTAATGGTATTTCTACATAATTTTTTTCTGCATACAAAATTACCTTATTTTTATCTATATAAAATGGTAAGTGTTGATATATAAAATTATTTCCAAGTAATATATCTCCATGCATTTTTGGAAAACGTATTATTCTAGGAATTACAAATCTTGCATTGTTTATGTAGATTAAAATATTCCTAGCTTTATATTGAATAATGGTTTCATTACCATCTATTCTACAGCTCTAATTGGATTTTTCATTGGTTCCCATTTTCTACAGAAATTGTATTTTTCAACAACTACTGGTTATAGCTCACGTGTCTAATAAAACGTGTAAAAATATGTATTATATTCTTTAAACTGAAATATTATTTCAATATATGTATAATATTTTTTATTGAAATCTTGAAAATTTGATTATTTCTTTTTCAATCTTCATTTTTGTATTATAACTGATGTATTTATTTCCTCTATTATATTGTTTCTAGAACTTCTACTTGGTTCAGTTGGGAAATAGGAATATGGATTGTTTTCATACCTATCGGTGTATTATTATTTTTGTCTCCATAATCATTTATTTGACTAGAAGATGGTAAAACTATTTTTTTTTTATAATTTTAATTTTATTATCCAATATGCAGAGTTATGCTACACAAAATATCCCATCAGAAGGATAAAGAACAACTACTTACAACATAAAGGTAAAACCATGTTTTGGTTATTTACTACTGCTGTATTTTTAAAATATAATTTATCTCCTAAAGCAACACACTATATTGTGTTTAGAGGTTTAGGAGTACTAAAATTTTCTAATATTCAGTCTCTTGGCAAAGATAAATCTTTTAAGTGTAATACTTTAAGTTGAATTTCAAAGTAAAATTATTTGATTCAAAGAGTTCAATAATTTTATTATTTACCTCTTTTATTTTTACTTCAAATGTATTAGTATATACATTTATAGAAGTCCAACTAAATGCTAGATCTTATGCTAAATCTTTAATATCAGAAATTTTTTGTTTGAATTCTTAAACATAAACATTCATCAAATAAGGGATTAGCTATGGAAATAAAATAGTTTGGTCTAACTTTAAATACAACTACTCCCGTATGTAAGTTTCATTGGATTACTCCCATATGTGCTTTTATGGGGTTTTCAAATCTTTTGTCAAGTAGCACTACCAATATTAGAACATCATGACCTTTCTTATATAGTGTTATTATTTGTAATCATTATGACACCTAAATGTATATAACTAACTTGGGTATATTTTTTCCTTATTCTTTTTATTTTATCTTTAGTAAATAATGAGATTTCGATTAATCCTTTTTTTTTATATTTAACTACAATATTTCCACTGATTTTTTCAATATGTCTTTGACTCCAAATTTTAAATTTTGATATTTTATATATTTATTTTTTGAAATTATTATTTTTATTTATTTTTTCTATCATTTCATTATAGAGATATTTTTCTTCTCCAATGATAATTCCTAACTTTATTACTTCTTGTTCCTTATTAGGTATTTCTTCTAATTTATTATTAGAATTACTACCAAACATAAATATAGACTCGTGATCATCAATATCATATTTTGTTTCTGATATTAATTCATATAACATTTTTTCAGGATTTATTTTTTATTCTGAACAAATTTCTAACTTTTGTTCTTCAAGTGTTTTTATCATCTTTTTAGCATTTTTACATTTGTTAGGACAATTTGTTGTTATATGACTTTCTTCATTACAGATAAAACATTTACAATTAATTTTTATTTTTATTATTGTTAGAAGTTTTTCTTCTAATAAATTTTCTCCTCATATTATTCTTTGGATACCTATATTGTTTCCAATGTTTCCATCTAACTAATTTATATATTTTTTTATTTTTTCTTTTTGAACGTATTTGTTTACATCCAAATTCTCATTCATTTTCTAAATTTTTTGTACAATATCTACTACTTAATTTATTTTTCACTTGTTTAGTGACTTTAGATCTTAAACAATATAAGTGTCGGAACTGTCTTTCGATTGGGCCCGAAATTGGGCTTCGACTTGAATTGATTGGGTTAGAGTCGCCACCGACCATTTAAAACGAATTTAGGTGGGTCGGGCACCATCTTACCTGATCTGCGTTTTACCATAAATGTGTCGGGCTCGGGAGTCGGTTACGGTCAAGGAAGGATTAGCACCCTTGAACTGCCCTTTCGGTACCAATTAATTTTCGGTTGTCTTTAATTGCAAAAATTAAAATTTAAATTGAAATTTAAAACCTTCGATTCAAATTACTTACATTTGATCGATTGAGATTATTACTAAAAAAAAGGTCAAAATGATGTTAAATTGAAAAATAAATAGAAAAATATCAAATAAAAGGAGAAAAAAAGTTAGAAATAAAAAAGGTAAATCAAATAAAAAAATAAAATAAAAAAAAAAAAAAACAACAAAAAATAACAAAAGTAAAAAAATACAAAGAAAATAATAAAATAGAAAAAAAGGAAAAAATAAAAATCATTAAAATATGTTAAACAAACCACACAAAAAGTGTTAAATTTTACAGTAAATAAAATAAAAATGATATGAAAGAATAAAAAAGAATAAATAAAATAAATAAATAAATTAAAATAAAACTTAGAGTATTAAATTGAAAAAAGCAAACTGCAAAAAAAACAAAATTAGAGGGTTAATTCACAAAGTATAAACAGTGACTAAATTTAATGAATTGAGAATCCAGATGTCGAATTACAAGTGGTGACCGGATTGTAAAGAGAATCAAAATTATAGGGACCGCGGAGAGGATTTAAAAATCTTCTATTTGCAAGGAGGCCCCTGTTATATAAATAGCCCAATTATCATTTTTTCTCTCATTTGTAACTCTCCCATAATGAAAGCTTCTCCCATTCTCTCTTACTCCACCTTCCCCGGTCGAGTGTCGGCCATCGCCCTGTGGCCTATCTAGTGCCGACAACCGTCGTAGTCGTCGCTCCGGTAGCCGAAAAAATAAAAATCACTCAAATGAATCCTCTCACCCCCGTAACCTCAGATCTGAGGCCCGATTCACACAAAGAAACCCCAATCGGAGCAGATCTAAGGGCAAAGATCTCGCTTCCCTAGTCTTCTGGTTTTTATGCTTTGCTTGACCTTTGGGTTTTTCGTGTATGAGTATTTTGGCTTTTTCATTGCACTATTTGGCTTGTATTTTGCAATGATTTTTGTCTGTTGCTCGGTCGATATTCGAATGTTATTTATGTGTTGTGGGTACTGTTGATGATTTTCTCTTGATGTTTTGTGGTTGGTTCTGTTTTCAGCTTGATGGTGGTATGACCCTCTATTTACTGTGTAGATGTTGTGTGTTTCGACTGTGATCTTGGTTTATTGTTTTCTCTCTGTTCCGGTGTAGATGTCCTTGGCAGTGGCTTGGTGGGGTATTTATACCCTCACCGGTGGCCTGTTGGTTCCGATTACTACGGTGACACTCGTCGTTGACCGGGGATTTCAGGATGGGTTAGTCCCGATTTCCCCGGCCGAAAATCTCGCACTGTTATGACGTGCCTTGACTGGCTCTCGGTCTCCCTGCTTCCCTCCTTTGCGATGCCTAACTAGGGATGTGTGACTAGGGTTTCCAAACCCTAAACTACACTGGAATAGGTCAAGCCCAATGTTGGACTTTTGCTAGACCCAAGACGATGGACCTGAAAGACAAAAACAAAAAACAATAATAAAAATAACTAAAATAAATAAATAAATAAATAAATAAAATATTTTTTAAAAATATTTTTTATATATGATTTTAAAAATGATTTTCTAAACCATATAACATAATATATTTTCAAAAAATATTTTAAAACTATATATATTTTCAAACATGTTTTTAAAAAACTGTATAATATATAATTATTTTCAAAATATTTTAAAAACTATATATTATATAAGTTTTCAAAATGTTTTAAAAAATTATATATTATATATATTTTCAAAATGATTTTTAATAACTATATAATATATAAATGTTTTCAAAACTGTATATTATATATTTCAAAAATGTTTTCAAAAACTATATATTATATTTATTTTCAAAATGTTTTAAAAACTATATAATATATAAATGTTTTCAAACATGTTTTCAAAACTATATTATATATATATATATATATATATATTCAAAAATCATTTGCAAACTATATAATATATAGATGTATATGTAATAAAAAATGAACAAAAATTAGTGTCCACAATAAGGTTAATATTTTTTTAGCAAAATTAATTATATTTCTTATAGAATTAATCCCACTAGTTTCTACGCCCGATGATTTAATATGTTTCTCAAGATAAGAGAATGCGATCAACTTTCCTTTAAAGTTTAAAGCTAATTTAATGGATATCCGCAGTATTTGAACAATTCAACATTAGTTTGAAATGAAACGTTGGGACAATACTTGCAAGTATTCAATATTTTCAGTACATTAAAAATTATCTAATTACTATATAATATTTAATATTGAATATGTGTCTGTAATGATCAAAACATTAATAATTCAAATTATAAAATAATTTTAATTAACATCTCATCCATAGAAGCAAGATGTGATGCTATGAAATTATCTTGATGGCTAAAGTTTATCCAACGAAACATTGATCATAATTCATTCAGAAGAGAATAGGAAAAGCAAGTGGGTCTCGATATGATAACGATAAAGCAAGAAATTGATCCATTAAGTACTGTTCAAATCACAGAAAGAAAGGTAATAACATGTCCTTTCTTACATACTGAGCATGAATTGTCAAAAAGCGGGGAAAACAAGGGAGAAACTTATATGAAATATACATATACAAGCCCGAAAAAAATAAAAAGAACAGACAATTTCAGCAATTTAAGAAACACACGATTCCATCATCATTTTTCTTTCTTTGAACTTCAAACTCAAGCCTTCTCCTTTTCTTTCTCTTCATCTGTTTTGGAGTGATAACCAGGAAGCTTCTCCTTGATTTTCTCCAAAATCCCCTTCTTTTCCTTTGAGTCGCCTTCATGATGGGGCTCAGCCGCTGGTGGTGGTGCTGGAGGTGGGCTACTCAGCTCTTCAGCTTTCTTATGTTGTCCGGGGAGTTTCTCTTTGATCTTCTCAAGGAACCCTTTCTTTTCAGGCGTCTCCGGCTGAACCACTGGTTCATCAATCTTCTCAACTGGGATTACGGTGTCCTCTTCTTTCTTTTCTCCTCCTAACTTCTCTTCGATCTTTTCCTTCAGTCCTTTCTTTTCCTTCTTTTTTTTCTTCTTCTTCTCTCCATCTCCACCTTCTTCCTCATCGCTGGACTGCATGTTTCAGACAAAAACAGATTACTAAATGTTAGATAATTAAAAGTATAATCCAAAAGTGAAAATTTGACGATACAGTTAAAACCATAAAATAAGGAAGTGATATAACGTTCTTACGGAGCTGGAGCTGCTATCTGATCGGTGAAGCTTCTCCAGTAGACCATGTTTCTTCTTCTCCTTTCCCTCTGCCTTTGATTCTTCAATCTTAACCTTGTCAAACTCGGTTACGAGCGCCTCTTCTTGGGGCTTCTCCTCTTCTTTCTTCAGCATGAAATCGAACAACCCTCGGTCCTTGGACTCCACAGCTTCTTGACCGGCGACGTTGCTCTCGACCTCAGGGATCTTGCTGGTATTCTCCTCAGCCATTTTTTGTTTGTATCAAGCACGAATATCAAATATGATCAAAGCTAGCTAGAGTTGCACTTATCACTTATTTAGAGAAATGGGAACCCTGGGATTTTATAGCATACAAAACCTCGTCATCACAACGCGGTTCTGACGCGATTAAGAAAAGGGCGCCATCGAAAAGTTAACGGAAGCTAACGGGCTAGCCAATCAAGCGCCATTCATGTAACCGACGTTTGCATTAATCTATGGGTATACTCTCTAAATACAAATGCTTGTATCCTACTCGCTTTTTTGCACTTTGAGCACATGTGCCAGCTAATGGAAGGGAGTGCAGGCGTGGGTTATAAGCTAGCGCTGGTGGAAATGAACAGTCAAAAGGGCGGAAAGTGAAAGGAGACGAGAAATTATTTTATGAACTGGACTTACAGTGTCATTTATGATAGCAATGAATGAAAAAACTCAAATTTTATAATTACTTCTAAATAATCATTTACTTTTTATTTATATGAAAGAAAAAATATAAAAAAATAATTTAAAAAATAATATAAAAATATTATTATTAAGATCACAGATGAGTGATAAACTGAAATCATACAATAATTTCTCTAAAGAAGACACTCTGTACTATAAGCCATGCAAGCATGCGACCAATTGGACCGATGACACGTGGAAGAAGAACGTGGAGAGCTGTTTTGGCATGCGAAGGTCGGGTAGGACCAGACAGAGTGGATGTTGGACCACGTGTCATAACTTATTAAAGAAGGAGGAGGAGACTTCCAGATACGTGACCGTTAGGTTTCTGGGGATGGGGCCCCATGCCCAGAAGGAATGAATGATTGAATAGTGGAGTTGGCATCGTTGGACGTTAGTCTAACTTTTTAAATTCCGTCACATTCTCGGGGCCGGGATACATCACTATGGGCGGAGCCCATGTGACCGTGACAGCCTTGGTCGGTTTGGAATGCACAGTTTTAAGATTTTCACCAAAACCCATAATAAGTAAATAATAGAATGGTATTATGGAAATTATATAGTATAAGATATGAACCATATATTGTAGAAAATGATTATTATAAAAAAATTATATTTATTCATTTTTTAATTATTAATAATATCAATATATCTTGTAAATGCAATTATTTAAATTTAAAATATTAAAACAATAACATTCCATTTATGAATTATGATGGTAATTATAGAATTGAAATAAACTTTATCTTTGTTTTTCAAAACTATCATCCACTCTAAATATTAATTTTGAATTATCTTGACGTGGTCTGATAGGATGAGACACTAGGTCCTTTAAGCAATGTCAGAGGTTCAAATCTTGATGATTACAAATTGAATAAACTGGTTTGGTAGGGTCATCTTTGCCTCTGCAATACCCGATCCGGATTAATCAATCAATAGATCAAATATCAATGATTATAAAAAAATTATTCATTTTGCACTTATTTATTTTATTGAAAATATCATTCAAGTATGTGAGGATTTGGCTTTTTACCCCTTTTTTTTTACATAAAGTTATAATCAAATGTGTAGTGGTAGATCTATTTTGTACTTTCCATCCTAAAATCTAAATTATTTTAATAGTTATTTATTTTACTGGTCGTATCTATTTTAAAATTTTATTTGTATCTATTATATATAAATAATTTGTATTGTTAATATATATGTATCAACCTTTAAAAAAAATTTAGATTCCTCATTGTGAATATATGTGTAGTAAATTTTTTTTGAAGAAAAATTATAAATTGCATATTATCGGAGGGAGTATTTATAAATATTGAGGAGTTTGATCCAAGTTAAAATGTTTTATGTGCCGAGAATATGTGATGAATCTATATTCAGATAATTTTTTTTTAAAAAATATTAATTTATTTAAATTTCGTAAATAATTTTGGTGTTCTTTATTTGTGTTTCTACATTTTTTATCATCTAATTTTCACGAAATAATAATTACAATATTACATTTAATCACTTCTTGATAAATTAAAATAAAAAAATAATTATAATTATGATATAAATTTTGACATTATACATATATCTTATCGTAAGTAAATATTCTTGGTGTGTAAAACTTGTTACAATTAATTTCTCGTATCAGAATCAATTAAAATCGACGGATACAAGAATACAGTCAAATTTCATATAAACTAAACAATTCATAAATAATTTAATTAAAGATCAAAATGTGGTATACAACTACATGTTCCAAAGTTAGCATAATCATACGGAAATAAATTAATGGGATTTAAACTAACAAAAATAATAAATTAAATAGAAACAACAGTACAATAAAATGTTAAATAACAAGTGAACCTACTTAATTCAACAAAATATTAATACTAAAATATCACTTGATAGTACATTTCTTATAAATAATAGAAAAAATACGAATAAAAAATAAAAAATGGTTTAAAAATTCAAGACCTTTTTAAATTGAAAAATTATTATTATTTTTTAAATTATATGAAAAAATAGGCTTAAAGGTCCTTGTACTTAAAAAAACGATGTAGCCCTCTTAATTTTTTTTTCATTTAATACGGCCATCTAACTTAAAAAAAAATTAATCTAGTCATTTAACCAACACTTTCCATCATTTACCATGACGCCGTTAATTTCTGCTAACGTGACATGTTTTCTATCCGTTAAGGGTTAAAAAAATGAAAAAAAATGTATTGTTGTTGAAACAAAACGCCTCCTCCTCCTCCGATGGTCATCACGAACAAAGAGGCAAGGTCAAAGAGTTTTGGCTCCCCGAGTCAAATCCGTTGTCATTTTCCCCAAAAATTACTTCGATGATCACAAATCCTCCCGAGTCAAATCCGTTGTCATTTTCCCCAAAAATTACTTCGATGATCACAAATCTACAAAAAATACTCTTCAGTCGTCGCGGGTTCCATCTTCTCAATCTTCGTCATTGGCCGTTCGATGAAGCCACCTCCACAGCATGTTGCTCACACCGTCGTGGGTAACATATTCATCGTTGGGATTTACCAATGGTCGATGGGGACGACGCGAAAATTTGTCCGCCACATAAAACATAATGTGAAGATGTTACCCACGACAGTGTGAGCAACGTAATGTGTCAGTGGCTTCATCCAATGGCGGATTATGAAGATTGAGGAAATGGAACTCACGATGACCGAAGACTATTTATATATATTTGTGCTTATCGACACGATTTTTAGGAAAACGATGACAAATTCAACTTATGGGGACCAAAACGCTTCGATCTTGCCCTTTATTCGTGATTACCATCGGAGGAGGCAACAACGACGGTCATCGGCGTTTTGTTTCCAACAACAAGACGTTTTTTTATCTTTAACGGATTGAAAACGTGCCATGTCAGCAAAAATTAACGACGTCGTTGGTCAACGGACTAAGTTGAGTTTTTTTTTCAAGTTGGAGGGCCACATTAGATAGAAAAAAATACGAGGACTACATTGATTTCTTTATTTAAAGTAAATAGGTCTTTGGTGCCTTTAAGCCTAAAAATATGATAAAAATAAAAAAGAAAATAAAAATATGATGTTCAAAATAGAAAAATAAAAATATAATAAATTATATTATTAGAACATTAAAAATGATTTTCACGACTTTCAAACCTAATCTTCGATAAGACGATAACACTGAGTCCCTGACCAGAAATTAATTTAGAGGATTATATTGAAAATATAAAATAAAAATATGATGTTCAAAACAAAAAGCGACAAGTAGGCGTCTATTGAATTCTCAACGGAGAATGAACCCATTGAGGGGTTATGCCTTCTTGAGGTTTATTTTGGCCGGCCATAGGTTAAACTGTTTTATTAATTATCCTAATAGGTATATAGAAATTTATTTTGAGATCTATAATATTTACTATAATGTTAAAGAAAATCATCCAATTGAGGTGATGAGTTTTCTTAAATAATATTTTTTTTATTTAAACTCATAACGTCGAGAAGATGAATTTTAATAAAATATAATTTTAATTAAATTTTATCATATCAAGTTAAAAAAAAAATTGAAAAAAAATATTTTTAGAAACTTATCACCTTGACATGATGAATTTCAAATCAATATAATAAATATTATAGATACTTAAATAAACTTCTATATGATATATTGAACTAATTAATTGAAATTTTTACCATATTGGGAAAATGCCTTCGGGATAAAAACAAACCCCTAAGATTTCTAATTTGGACTTAAATTTGGCTGGCCCATACTAAATGTATTAGCCCATTAAGTTATAGGCCTGACGGGTCGTGCTCAATCTAATTGAAAGGCCATCAAAGACGGCGACTCTGTTTATAATTATTTATTTTAGTTTTAAAATTCATTAATATTTTAATATTTTTGAGGGGGGTTAAAAGGGAAAAGAGGGGAGTTAAAAAAAAAAACAAATTAGGAGGGAGAGAGGGTGTACGGAACGCCAACGAAACGAACCGAGGCCTAATTGAATCGAGCATCGATGATATCACTTGCCTTTTTTCTAGCTCCGATTCGCATATTGCTCTGCAAATTCTCAATATTTAACGATTTTTTCACTCCCAAACACCAACAAAACAGAAGGCCGACAGTCAGGGAAAGAAGAAAGGAAGGGATGATTACGCGATCGAATTTAGCAGAGCAGTTGAGAGAGTATCAGATTCGATCTAATCACGATTGGGCCTCCATTTCGATTTTCACTTCGACGTCTAATCTTACGTCCTCTAGGTATGTCCAATTCAATGATTTGCGTTTTTCAGTATTTATATTTCCTTAATTTTCTCTTTTAAATATAATTTTCGTTAATTAAATTTCAAGATCTTCGTGCTTTACGATCTGGTTATCATTATTTTTCCATTTGATCTTAGATCGGAAAACTAAACCGATTTACGTATGTAAGATAGTTGGAATAAAAAGTTCAGCTATACTTTCTCCAATATATTTTTTAATTTCTTTTGTAAATCCCGTTTCTCAATCCATTGATTCATTCACTAAGAATAGGGGGGGGGTTAGAGCAATTAAATATCGTTTTGAAATACTTTGAAATTTTTGGTAGTCTAAGAAGCGAAATTGACTCCGGAGTTTTATAGACTGCTACCGGTCCGAAATATGTGCATTAAACCCTCAAAAAGTATAGAAAATAATGTTTGAAATTCTCTGTTCATCTCAATTTTCATCAGAAATAGAAATAAGATGTCTGAAAGAGGCCTGCTGTTGGGGGTAGTCGTGTAACTGGAAAGTTCATCTATTGGTTGTTTCATGTAGCTGATTCGTGGGAATGCGAGTTTGTTGTGGAGATGAGTATGAGTTTTGGAAATGCTGTAACAATCATTTAACTTTAGTTGTACATATGACATTGTTGTTATCTTGCTAACCTTGCTTTTCTACTTGTCTAGCGGGTTTTATATTTTATATTTTATATTTTCAACTGAATGAATTGGGTCGTTGGTGTGCGAATTAACTGTATGATGGTAGGATTATACAATGCTTGCTTATATCTCGTCACAGTTGTAATAGTTGAGTATCACGTGATCTCCAGTTTTTCTCCTAGCTTTGAAGTTTGAAGTATCTGGAAGAGCAGAATGCTTACCAATCTGTTGGGAATAGGTTCTTTAAAGAATTGTTCGGATTTGCTGAGATCATGGAAGATTAGGGTAGGAGTCCTTATTGCTCAGATTGAGAAGCTTTGATGCTAGAAGTTGAAAACACTAAAGCTGTTAGCATCGAACCTATGCTTTGCAGGATGTATGCATTTGATTTTTTCTGATACTTATGATGCATGTGTACTGTGTAGTAGTTCCAAAAGTATTGAAATGTTGGTAGGGCTTCGATTAGATTAAATCAATAGTATGAGAATGATGATTCCAACCTTGCATCAGAGAATGCGACATATAGACTGCTTAGTTTAAATTGTGATTCATTTATTTGGTCTTCTTTGACCTGCTTTCTAATTGTCGTGCTTTCTTGTTTTGTGGTTGCAGGGTCGATTTTGTGCTCTTCGTTATATGGGAACTTGTTATTTTAGCTTTCCTGGTTTTCTCAGCTGTTTCTTTATATTTGAGGCATATGCAACTTGCCTTCGTCCTTGTATGCATCACAATGCTATTGCTTCTCTGCATGAAAATCACAAAGCAAATTAGATTGGCTAGGAAAAAGAAAAGAAGGATGCTTCCTCCGTTATCTATGTAAAACTACTTGAAGCTTGATTTTTTTTAAACAAAAAACTGACGAACTCGCGGGGTAAATTTGATACCTATTGATCACTACATTTGGCTCATGCTTACTGTGGTAAAAAGTATGTAACTTGGCCGAAGGCTAGCTGATGATGGAATATAATTTCGATATGATCACCTCAAAAACCGGGGAACCAATGGCGAGTCTAATGAGTGGAGGTGGAAAGTGGGGGATGTTCAATTGGACTTGTAGCAGTTAACTTCAGTCTTCAAGGCACGGTTTGGATCTCACCAACTTTTCGAAGATCCGAGAAACTAAATTTCAAATGCTGATCCAGGTGGGAATGTAGTAAACAATATTTGCTTTATTTTGTAATGTGTTTAGACTTGGTTGTAGCCTAAAAGACAACATGGCCACATAGGATAGGAGTGGATGCTTTGAGTGACTGAAACATTTTTGCATGTATGATGTACCCGTAAAGTTAATTTTCAACAGATCAATAGCATACGTTGAATGAAGAGTTAAATTCCCCACTGTTAAATTATACTGTGGTCAATTTTTGTTTTCTATCTCCGTCTATTTCTATATATACTTCTTGGTTGAGTTTGTTGTAGACATCCAGTCAACCGATACCAATTTAGATGGAAATTTATTAAAAATATAAATCTCAAGCGTTGGCAAAAGCTTTATGGTTGAGCCACCAACGATAATAAGGGCAATATGCGCCTACCGATAAGTTACATAAGTGGAATACAGCGTAACAGTAATAAGGAAATGCGTCAGGATATGAACTTTTGTCGCCCTAAACAGTTCTAGAAATATTATTCTTCAGTGAATCTAGAAATATTTTATAAAAATATTTTTAGGACGATCACATATATTAATCACACAATTTTTATCTGGAAATGACAAATAAAATTTAAGAGTGGACCAATACATAAATTAGTTAACTAATTGAAGAAAATCTAAATTTAAGGATGAACACTTGCCTACCTTAACTTAGACGTGCATCTGCCACTAGATGCATCACATTTAATTCGATCGATGAAGATTTCATTTATCAGATAATGTTGGGATATATATATATATATATAGCTTTCTTCTCTTTGTTAGGGTGGGGAACAAGTCCTCCACATTTAACCTTGTACATGAAAATAGAGCTAGGACAGCCTCTAATAAACTTGTACTTTGAGCTTGTTTTGTATTTATGCTGAACTAATAAACAGAGTTACTTGACTTAGCTTCACATGGAGTAGTACAAACAATTTGGGTTTTACATGGTGGAAAGATGGTCAACACAACTCCTATGAAGCAACGGTGGAGTAACATTGATGCGAGCCCGATAAATCGAAGAAAGCCTTCTCCAGCATTTCGGTGTTGCGTCTTTCGACCAAAGAAATTACGTACTCCAAGATTACTGCATCGCATGGCAGAGTTATAGGGCCATCCTTCGGTGATCCGAACTCTTCCTCCAACAATCGAAAGAGCTCTTTAAAAACTCTGGTGCGTAGATACGCCAAGGGAACAACAAAACGTCCCTCTTCCACATAGTAGACAACAAAATGATATGCCCTTGCAAGCTTGCAGTTGATCCTAGGGATCGATATCCTTCTTCTAATACCCGTCATTGTTTTCCACTTCCTCGCGAGAGCAGCCAGTTTCTTCGAGCTAATCATGGGAAAAACCATGTCCTGCAGACTGCAGTGGCCGTCAAAAGAAGAAAGTTGTCAGCTTCTTCTGTATTAAATTTGTAAACAGGCTCTGGTAAGAACAACTCTACCAGTACCGTACTAGACTACAACATATATAGATGCCGTAACCGGTTTTTGTCCGGACACGAATTTTTTACTTGACGGGAAAATTGATGTGAATAAATGGTTTTGAAAATAATTTGGGAGTCGCCATCGGCCTTTTGGGTCAGGTAGGTCGAATACCTAAGAATTATTTTTTAATCGAGTTTTTTTAAGAAAACATCAATTAAAAGATGAACTGATCTGCGTTTATAACCAAAAATTCTTTCTTTTAATAATAAAAAGGGATTCGTGGTCGGTTACGTTTAGGGAAGGATTAGCACCCCTACAACGCCCAAAATTGGTACTTTTTAATTATAAATTGTCTCTATTATTAGAAATTTAAAAATTCAAAATATATTTAATTCATAATTATATTATTTCAAATAATTTAAAGAAAATATATTAATATGTATAAAATATTTATTTATTTAGAAATATCAGAAAAGGGCTTTTAGGTGCTTTAAGACAGCTCTTTTCTTGATATTAATAAATAAATAACTAAAAAAACATTTTTTTTAAAAAAATAATTAATATATAATTTATAAAAAAAAACAGGATATTTATTTATTTAAGAATATCAGAAAAGAACTTCTAGTTGTTTTAAGACAGCTCCTTTCTTAATATTAATAAATAAATAAATGTTAATAAAACATTTATCTAAAAATAATTAAAATATATTAATATATGATTTATAAAAATAGGACATTTATTTATTTAATATTATCAGAAAAGGACTTAGAGGTATTTTAAGACAGCTCTTTTCTTAGATATTAAAAAATAAATACATATCAAAATATGTTTTATTTTTCTTAAAAGTAATTTATAAAATTAAATTTATAAATAGGATTTTTATTTAATAAACAAATAGAATAAATAAATAAATATTATATATATATTTATATAACTTAATAATAAAAATAATCATGAAGATATATATCAAAAGTAATAATAAAATAAAATAATAATAATTAAAATGAAAGAAAACAAAGTAATATATTAAAACTATTGGATCATATTCATAAATATATGAACCTAAAATGTAAAAATAATAAAACTTATGGTTAAAATTAAGATTATATAAAATTTAATGATCAAATTATAAAATATAAATATTTAAGAGACATGGTTATAATTATCATAAAATATAAATACTAGTAGTATAATTAGCCATTAATTATTTAATAGGTGATTAAAATAGAAATATTAAAATTATTAGGGACTAAATGTGATATTTATCCTAAATATATTATTTAATACTGGTAAGGACTAAAACATAATAAAATAAAATTCGAATACTGAATTAGAACATTCAGAAGTTAGTTTTAGTGACTAAAATGAATAATTACAAAACTCGGATGGCTACGGAAGGGGTTTAGCCATACAAGTAAATTACGCATATACCCCTTCCCAAAACGATATCGTTCGGGAAGGGGTATATATACCCCTTCATAGCTGGCCCGAAGGGCCAGCAGCCTCATTGTTCTCTTCTTCTTCTCTCAAAAACGAGAGAAGAAGAAGCTCTCTCTTCATTCTCTCTTAATTCCCTCACCGAAGGGAATTCCGGCGCCGATAGCCACTGCCAACCTCACCGCCGGCCACCGCCTCTGGTGGCCGGAAAATAAAATTTTATACCACAACGTAGATCGGATCGTCCTAATGACGATTCCGATATTTGTTTACCTTAAAAAGCTCCCAATCGGAGCAAATCTATAAAAATACCTTCGGTTTCGAAGGTTTGTTGTGGAACGTGGAGGTGCGTGGTTACTCCGGTGGTGGTGTGGCTTTCTCGATAAGGTTTCTTTCGATTTTTATCGTATTTTGGGTTTGATGGTGGTGGATTGCTTGTTGTTGGTGTTGTTGTCTCCGTTTTCTGGCTGTCCTTTTCTTCGCAGGTGGTCGATGGCTTTATAGCCACATCAAGACGCTCATGGACGATTAAAGGAAAGGAGTTCGGTGAGTCACCGAGCTATGTGGTGACTCACCATAGAGCTCGACATGGATGGTCGGTGTTGTGGCAACAGAGCTTCTGGAGGCTTCTTCGAGGTGGCTTCGTGGCACTGGTGGAGTGTCGGCAACGGCGATTGGAGCACTTGGCATCAAAGGCTGAGGCATCTGGAAGTTCTGGCAGTGGAGAGGCGGCGGCGGCGCGGGGCTTCTGGAAACGGCGGCTGGGAGTAGGGTTTAGAAACCCTAGCTGAAACTCCCAAATGATTTGGGCTTCTCGGGCCTGGTTCAAGTTGGGTTACTGTTGGACCTGATCGGGGCTCCTGGATCTTGTAATTGGGCTTTGTCATATTAATAAATAATATATAATAATAATATAATAATAATACTAATAATAATAATTTTAATAATAATAAATTTAAATGAAAAAATTGATGTCTACAGCTGCCCCTCTTTGCTCATCCTTGTGTTAACAAGAATAGAGCAAAGACGAAAAAGACAATAATTTTTTTCATTTGGTTTCTTTTGAGCAGAATGGAAATGTTGAAAACATCATGCACTGAAGGGCTTACAGACCGAAGGTTTTTTGAAAACATCAAAAGCTCCCGAAGGCTTTTTGGAAACATCATGCATGTAGGACTTACAGATGACCCGAAGGTTTGAAAACGTCAAAAAAGCTCCCGAAGGCTTTTTGGAAACATCATGCACTGTAGGACTTACAGATGACCCTAAGGCTTTGAAAACATCAAAAATCTCCCGAAGGCTTTTTGGAAACATCATGCACTGTAGGACTTACAGATGACCCTAAGGCTTTGAAAACATCAAAAAGCTCCCGAACGCTTTTTGGAAACACATGCACTGTAGGACTTACAGATGACCCTAAGGCTTTGAAAAACATCAAAAAGCTCCCGAAGGCTTTTTGGAAACATCATGCACTGTAGGACTTACAGATGACCCTAAGGCTTTGAAAACATCAAAAAGCTCCCGAAGGCTTTTGGAAACATCAGCACTGTAGGACTTACAAATGACCCTAAGGCTTTGAAAACATCAAAAAGCTCCCGAAGGCTTTTTGGAAACATCATGCACTGTAGGCTTACAGATGACCTAAGGCTTGAAAACATCAAAAAGCTCCCGAAGGCTTTTTGGAAACATCATGCACTGTAGGTCTTACAGATGACCCTAAGGCTTTGAAAACATCAAAAAAGCTCCCGAAGGCTTTTGGAAACATCATGCACTGTAGGACTTACAGATGACCTAAGGTTTGAAAACATCAAAAAGCTCCCGAAGGCTTTTTGGAAACATCATGCACTGTAGGACTTACAAATGACCTAAGGCTTTGAAAACATCAAAAGCTCCCGAAGGCTTTTTGGAAACATCACGCACTGTAGGACTTACAGATGTGAGAAATAGTTTACTAAGTAAGAAACTATGAAATCGTTTTCTTACTTTTCAACAATTTCATTTTAGAAAAGATTGAATGCACTCAGATGTATCAATGTAATGCATTGTCTTTTGTGTAAATGATATTCTTATGAATGCATGAATGTTGATGCAATCTTCGTTTGCACTTCATCATTTATTACCAGGGTTATCTCTGGATATTAGTGTAGAAACTTATGCTATCAAGCTTGCATTTCTACAGAATCTTCTGATCAACTTGTATCTTGGCATCTTCTTTGCTTCATGAAAGTCTCAGAAGAAATGTTTCATTTGTGGAACTCTTGCGGTAGTCAAAATTATAACCCTGATGCCCCATTTTGTCTTGGATTAAACTAACTTTATTTGCTTAGACTTGTGTGTAAATCCCATAAAGCTTTCATTTTTGAAAAGAGAATATATCATCTTTAAAAAGAGAATCTATCATCTTTGAAGAGTGTAGATGTAGATATGCCTGACTCAGCAGGGATTAATTAGGAGAGTAGAGTCTGTTCTAATTTAACTCTTGAAACATCACAAGGAAGATTTATTCCAATTCCTTTCATGTGTCTCCACATATAATCAGATCTCGAATAAGGCAACTTGGACCAATATCATGTCGAGATGCTTAACAACCTGTAGTTCAACCTTAGTTGACCCTATTAGTTTCTTGTTTAAAATTTCAGCTCTCATTGGAAAGAAATCTTCATTATATCTTACTTCTAATCTTGGGGTTGAAGAAGACAAACTTCATCTTGAATGGAAACCATATGATTGCAGCATTGGTTCAGCACCATAATCATTGGTTCGTAAAACATTTGACAATACATTCATCTTTTCCTGTGGTTTCTGCTCAGATTATTGGTCAAGGAAGAATTTGACAACACATTCATCCTTTTCTGTGGCTTCTGCCAAGATTTCTCAATCATTGAAGCTCTTTGCCTAGTGTTCAAAGCTTTTGTATGATGTCACAAGACCATTTGAGAACAAAACTCAATAGGGATACAAGTGATATGTTGGTATGACCAAAAAGTTGGTCAAATTCACAATATATGATGGTGTCGAATTGAATAGAAGACACTAATTACTCTTGATATCATCTCGGGCAAAGGCAAATGTAATACCGATCACATTTTCTTCTGTAATGAGCGTTGTAAAAAGTAGAAACACTTTCAGCTATAGGATCTATATACAAAAAGATATTCATGGATTTCTTGTTGCTGGGGATGAAACGCACATGATAAACCCCAAAAAATTCAATTCAGCCTGGCTGGCAATGATAACTTCAGTAACATCGGGAAAGAGCAATATACATGAGCTTCTCTCTTCAATGTCATCAAGTAAACAAAACTGATGTGAAAAACAGCTTCGTAACCTCAACAGTATGGTTGAAACTAACTGACATGAATCTCAAAGAAATATTTTCAATTATCACCGACACACAAAAGGCCAAATTCAGATTTCGAGGTCTCGAGGAACTGATCCTTGGATTGAATGGTCTACAAAGGGACCATCTTTATTCATGCAACCATGAT